TAATTAATTATACTTTTTATATACAACTTATTATTTAAAAATAGATTATTTTTAAAAAACAAAATCTTTTTCTTATAATTATTATATTAACTTATGTCCATTTTTGTAATTTGCACAGGAAAAAATGATTATGATAACAACCACTCAAATATTTTCACTTTATCAAAATTATTTTTTTACAAAATTTATTCTTTCAAAATCTATTCTGAAAATTTATTTTCTAAAAACTATTCTTCAAATTATGGTTTGGTTTCATTCAAACACTTCGTAAACAAGCTTGTTTGGATTAATGTTAGCGAAAGTAATTTTTATGCTAACTGATTTTGGCAAATTGAAGGCGGGGGTAAAGTTGACTTTATGCATATACATCTGGAGATCCCTTTAATCAACGTAGTCTCCAATTCTGCAGTGCTGCGTAGCTGCATATATATTTGTCTGCGCTTCTGGTTGATCTCATCTAATACCCGCGGGCGGATTTTGTTAATTAACCCACACGCATTTGAATTACCGAAATTCACCAAACAACTGAATTCTGTCTTTTTTCCTCATAATTTTGACCAATCCTTAGACTATGGACTGGCTTTTTCCAATGGCAAAATTAAACAAAGGAACCTAGGTACCCTTCGTTCCCGAAAGAAACAAGTTACTATCTTCAGTTTTTAATATATGATCTTATTTGATTTTTATTTTGATTGTAATTACAAGACTCTAATACATTTTGTCTCTCATATTTATGTATTATTTCCTAAGATAGTCCATTTAATAATAGTAGTTCTAGCTGATAAACTTGATTAGCAATGATATTTTGAAAAAGACAACACCTATTTATTATAAATAATTACTTTAACTTATTTTTTTAATCTTCTTAAATTAGTCAACTAGCTCTTATAATTAAGTTCGGGGATAGTATTCATTATTAGATCTAAACTTTAACCGATGAGATTTGACATATTATAAAATAATAATATTATTATTAACTAATTAAAAAAATGAATGAATTCACCATCATTTCCTCAATTAAGTTTCGAGGTTTTTGATTTGACACAGCATGTATGGCGTGAAAAATTTCGTCCATTTCCTCCCCGTCACTTTCTCTGCAGCTACCATCTGGCTTTGTCATCTAATTGATGATGCATTAAAGGCTTAGAGGGCCTTAACCACGAGACCCAGCACAAGTGGCAGGTACTTGGGTTGCTGTAGCATCCGTCCCAGGTTTGATATGGGGATGTGTACGCAGCAGGAATCGTAGCCAGCACTAATGCCCCTTTGGGACCTCCACGGTACGTTCCGGTTTAGTCTGAATCTGTTGATGTGTTTGGAAGATAGTCTTGGCTCAGGATATCGAGAAAAAAAATTAAAAAAAAAAAGGCTTAGAGGGCCTTCATAATAAATATACGTGATCCTATTAGCTGGATTTGTTCAGATACCCAGCAACGTCTCCCTCCCGAGTCTTTAGGCTTCCACCATTCGAGAGATTAACTTAATTGATTTATAAATTTATTAATTTCATTGAAAGTCCTTGAGTAAATTGAAAAAGGGTGCTTCCCTGCATTTGCATTGTTGTTCCTCCGCCTGTGTTTTTACTCAAAATTTGATAAAACCAAAACATAACAGTCTTCCTATATGGACACAAGCAGGTGGGAAACTGATGCTTTGATCTGGGTGAATTATTGGCATGTGCATGACATTTTGGTATGAAGAATAATAATAAAATAGAAATATTATAAATTAAAAAATGATTTAACAATTAGAAGATTAAAATTAAACTACAATACAGTACTATAAATTACTCCTCCGGTCCTTATTATAAGATCCAATTTGACTTTTTATTTGATCCTAATTATAAGACCCAATCCATTTTGTCTCTTATATTTATGCATTTTTTTCCAAGATAATCCTTCTAATAATGATAGTTTTAGCCAATATACTTAATTAGCAAGGATATTTTAGGAATGACAACATTTATTTATTATAAATAACCAACTTAACTTACTTCCTTAATCTCCTCAAATAAGTCAATTGGGTCTTATAATTAGGACCGGAGGAGTATTAAAAGACACGAAGTGGCCCTACGCTCAAGCGGCCGGGAAGAGAAGACGTTTTCCTGTTCATTCTTGGTTTATTAGCATACAAAGGCACGTTCGCTCTCCTCCTTCGCTGGACGCACATTTTACCCATGCCTGCATCGCCGACAAGATTTTTTCTTCCAATACCATTCCGATTCTAAATATAAAAATTAATAAAAATAGTCATGTGGTCGATGCAAAGCATTCAACAGTCCGAGAAATTTCAGCACAAAGTAAAATTTAAAACTTCTCTATCCAGTTAACAACGTACTAGTGAGCTACTAACTTGGGACATAAATATAAAATCTAGTATATGCGACTGAAATGATCATGATCTCCTCATCAAGTACATGCGAGTGAATTTGAGTGAACTAAAGCCGGTCAATAACATAACAATGGCTCTGATCAGAGTCTAAATGATCATGGACCGGACAATAACCCTTTAGCATTGAGCTCACCAGACAATCCAAAATGGCTAAACCAGTCTAATTTCTCTGGTGGAAGTGCAGGATAAAGCATGATGAAGGAGGGAAAAGCAATATACGGAAAGCGTTTATAAAGACTGAACACAATGAGTAGAACAAGAAGTTCATAATCATAATAATAATCTCTGCTGATAGATTGGCAACAGTAAGTCCAGTGAAGGAATAATGTTATTGCCCTGTTTGATACACTAGTCTTTGATCTAAACGCATACAAATTAGGAGCAATTAGAGAACACATGCCCAGGGATGACAGAAGAGAGAGAGCATGCTTTAATAGAAAAGCAAGCAATTAAATGGAATGATATCGCATTCTCATCTTATTTGGGAAAATATTTCAAAGAGGGCATTCTCTTTTATATAGTGATCTGGATTCTGGTTCTATCATCACCACAAACCCCGTCCTTCAGCTGATGAGTTCCTGTTCTTTTCTGGCCCGACCCTTCTGCCTGAGCCTCACCCACTGAGTTCTTCCTTCGTCGTTCGTTGTGCCCAGCCAAACGCCTCCTGCAACTCCTTTTCGTCTCATCAAACTCACCCAACTCATGGAATCTGCTCATCAATTAAAAAACCCCACTAAAATATCGTATTGCGCGATGCATATCCACATGTGTTATATAATATATTATATATAATATCAACTTGAATCAACAGAGAACTGCATGACGGAAGATTCCAATCAGTGGAGTACTAGACCTAATACTATGTTTCTGACACAATGCTGAAAAAACAAGACAAGCCGATATGTTCTGAAGAATATTTCCTCCCCAAATCATGATGAAGAAAGCATCCCAACGGGGGACACGAGAATAAGTTAAAACAGGAACCTTTGAATTTGAAGATCATTATATTCCTCTGAGTATAAATGAACCAAAATATAGCAACCATGAGAAACCCAGACAAGACACAAGAGTATATAGAAGTAACAGAGAAAGAAATGGGATGAAAACCCAAAAGTCGAACCTCCCCGAACCTGCTGCATTGCTGGCAAAAACGTTGTCGGATGCCGCAAACGACCACTTCCTGAGCCTTGGCATGATATTCGCACACCTTGTGCCTCTTATGATACGGCTTCGCATCACTGAGCTCCGCAGAGCAGTTCTCCGCCTGGCAACACCGCATACCACTTCCTCCGCCGCCGGCAGACCCTTTCTTGACGGACACTTTCTTCCTCTGGTCATCTTCCCCCCAGAAGAATCCATTTTTCTTCTCCTCGTAACCCCCCAAGGCCTCCCTCTCCACCACCGTCTTTGGTTTAGTCTCATCCATTCAGGCCTCGAGAGAGGGAGATCCAGAAGGAAACAAGGTGGTTAGTTTGAGGAGGAGGGGGAATTATATTGAGAGAAAAAGCGAGATAGGAGTGTGCCCCAGCTGCTCCATTAATTTTCTTCTTGTAATTGTACGTCCATGGGGGAAGACGGGTGAAAAAAAGCAAGCAATAAGCACGCGGCAACACGGATTTGTGCCTCGAGAGAGACCAGATCAATTACATGCGCGGTAAAAAAAGCTATTTTTAATACGAAAACAAAACTGCTTTGATCATTAGCGTTAGACTTAAACCTTCAATTTTGTCTGTTTTCCAAATGGCCGAATCATTTACAGGAACTGCAAAATATTTGGATGCCGCAGAATGTAGGAAACTAGAAATTAAACCGAGGAGGAGGAGAGAAGCATCCCCGTGAAGTGGTGGGCCCCCCGGAGATTGTTGGGAGGACGAGTGAGTGTACGTGTGTGGTTGGTTGTGCAGGCGGCATCTTAAGGGTCCAGATCCCATGCTGCTCGATGAGGCTACGAAGGGAGAAACCGGGTGAGGTGGCAGAATATGGTTGGCTGTAGGTTAAAAGTGTTTCACGGGGCCAATGAAGAAGTGAAACGTGTTAAGTACGTTTGGGTTTGCAACGGAAGGATGAGGATATGTCTCTGTCCTCTAGAGATAGTGGTAGGGACGAGGATTTACGATTGCGTGACCCCCGGCCTCTTCCTGGAAAGCTTGTTTCAGGAATTTGAATTTTTCTCTTTTTCGTGGTGGATATAGCTGTAGAATTTCCTAGCTTTTACATTCATGACGGACTCTCCTTCAATCTTTTCAAATCAACTGCGTGTGAAATTAAAAAAGAGAAGATAATATAATATATGAATTTTTTTCTGACGACATTTTTTTAAAATATACTGTCAGAATTATTTAGTTTCCTTCTCTCTTTTTTTTTTAAATTATAAGTCAAAAGAAGTCAATGGGAGCACATTCCATTGAAAATTGCGGAGTCACGGTTAATTCAGCCTCGTGTGGTTTTAGCCCATTGGACATCATGGTGGGCCATGATTCGGAGGCCCAGGGTTTTTTGGATATTATGCTTATGGACAAAAAAACATATTTCAAGAAAAGAGCCCCATTCAAAATTCGGCGGTTCCCGCCTTCCCGGCTTCATCTCAGTTCTCAGTTGCTCAGCTTCACAAAACGCAGACATTTTCAATTTCCAGTTCCACGAGCAGGATGACGATGATCGATAATTTCCTAATTTCCCGAGTCAGCGAAGATGCTCAGGATCCTCTGTTACCTTTCCTTCGGTACTCCTCCTTTTCTGTAACATTGGCACAATCACGCTGGGTTTGGGTCTCGTAAACTTCTAATCATTTGTGAATTTAGGTCCATTAGGGAAGCTCTTGAAGATCCCATCTCCGGCCGAACATCCAATTTGGGTCTCGTAACCCTTCTACAAGATTGCGTCAGAAAGTTCAAGCACAATGTCCAGTACAGCAATGACATTAGATTTCTTAAGATTTGGCTCCTATATGTAATTTGTGAATCTTTCGTTTTTACTTTTTATTTATCTCCATTTTATTGATATTCCATTCAAATCCTTGATGCTTGTTTAGCTTCCATTTGTCTTCATTCAGTTTCACATTACCTCTCTTTAAATATAATTTATTTGAAAGCCTTTCGGTGTCTGACTGATTTAGGGAAGATTGTTGCAAAACTAAGAGCTATTTCATGAGTTAACTTGGCTTCTCTATGAAGCTTCGCTTTCTTTAGCATGTGCCAATGTCATCATGATTTTCTCTCCACAAATCACTTCTTCTTCTTCTTTTGACCAAGCACAAATTACTTCTTCATTTTTTCCTTTGGCTGCTTGCATACTGGTTGCTTAAGAATATCGGAGAGCTTAGCTTGATTTTCTCGTTTTTGATAGATGGATGCTAGTCAGGATTTTAATAATGTGTTCAAAGAATTGCTGGATAGTAATGTATGTGCCAACCATTCTTCACTTTATGTATGGTCTGCATATTTTTTTGAATCCAAAGGGAGATTGCACGACGCTCACACGGTCTATCAGCTTGGCATCTCCAGGTCAGTGATGGGTCTACCTGCAGCCAGCAGTACCTGCTTGATTTGTTATCACAAGTTCTGCTGCAATGGTTTTAATTATTATTTTTTGGACTAGGAATGCAGAACCAATTGAATGGTTAAAGAAAGCGCATAAGTTGTTCCTCAATAGAATATCTGAAATAGTGACTGTTGCTCAACGTCAGAAGGTATGAATATTGGAACAGTTCTTTTCTGAAAATAATAATAATAAGAAAGAGCCAAACTGGAATCATATCACAAGGAAAATCCAAAAGATTGCGACTTTATAGGCTATGTCATTGATTTCAATTTGTGCTGCATACGCCATGAAAATAACATACCGTTTGTTCTTTAGTTTCTCTGTCTCATACTTAATCACCATTATGCCTCTTCGGTTTTAAAGTTTACTTGCGTGACTGCATTGACAACCTTAAAAATTCTTGTCTATTATTATATTTCAGATAGACGACAATGGATCCATGAAATTTGAAAACGGCGCCATCAATCCATGGAGCCCCTCAATCATGAATGATCTATTGAAGAGGATACGTGCTTTGATCACAAAATTTGATGTCAGACATTTTATAAGTTTGTTGTTTACATTTATTTGTATTATTAAATCAGACAGAACTAGTTTTCATTGGAAAAGTACTAAGACTTCTATTTTGTACTTTATACATTTCAGGGGTATCATTCAAGTAACAAAGCTTACGCCGGAAAAGTTGCCTTATCTTCTTTGAAGAATTCATCAAGGAATAAAATTGTGGAGATAGGTTATTTTCTAAATCATATATATCATCTGAATATCATTCTCACTGTTTTTCAGCTTTCATTGCATAAATAGGATCTAGTAGCAGAGCCATCTTTACGGGCTTGCTTGTTTATTTCCTCAGCTGCACTCTTATATTTATAAAGGATATGGAACCTTTTGCAAAACTAATGATTGCCAGGAGTAAATTAACCCGAAAAATTTGTTAGATGCGGTGATTCTAAGCCACCCTTCTAATGTAAATTATCAGTTGGCGTTTCAATTATTTCCCCAACGTATACATGTTCAGTTCCCTATATTAAGGATGCCGTTGCTTTCGAATATTGTTGTTGTGAAATTTAAAGGTGGAAAGAAGTATCAAATCAAGGGTTGTGCCGGACAAGGTGGTTTTGCTCAAGTATACAAGGCATATGTTAATAGTAATCCCGATGAAGTTGTCGCACTGAAGGTGATTGATTTACCTAATTGAAAATAGTTTTTTCCCTGATGCGGACCGATTGTTTCATCAGACTGAAAATTCAACGTTAAATTGCAGATCCAAAAACCAGCATTCCCTTGGGAATTTTACATCTATCGTCTGCTTGATCAACGTATCTTAGAGAGTGAAGTATGTCCTTTCCATTACGCCATCGACCTGCCATTTCATTGAACAAATACTTATTGTGAATTGATGACACGTATTTTTATCAGAGACCAAGCTATGGCTTTGCCCATAGAATTCATATCTATTCTGACTGTAGCGTACTCATCTGTGACTATTTAGCTCATGGGACATTACAGGTCAGTTGTTTTCATAATTTGCTCCTCTTTCCGGTTCATCCCAAAGTAGTAATATTTTCATAAAATATCACGCAGGATGTCATAAATTCATATGCGGTCCTGGGGAAATTCATGGAAGAAGTGCTGTGCATTTATTACACTATAGAAATGCTACATATGCTTGAGACATTACACGATGTTGGCATAATTCATGGTGATTTCAAGCCAGATAACCTGCTTATTCGCTACGCTAGGTAACAACGTATGCGCTACTTAATGACTTTTCGTAGGAGAAATATATCGAGGCACATATTAAGGGCATGGCTCCTGCTTGAATAATCTGAATTCTAATACCATGAATTTGTTAACTATTCTTTGCAATTATTCCTTTTTACCCTTTGGCTTGTTTGCATCAAGTGTGGTTTTAAATGTTTTTCATTCCAAATTTAAAGGCACGATTCAGTTATGTAAAGTACAGACTTTGTGCCCACTAGTTAGTAGCATCAATTTGCTGCATCCGCATGACTATAGGACCTCGGCATACGCTAAAACTTCCTCTGCCGCGATGGAAGAAGCATCACTGTAATACAGAATGCACCTAATGGGGAAGAATAGGTTTGGTTTTGTACAATACAATGATATTTAATGCGAATTTGGATGTCATTTTATTTTTAATAGCGTGATCCTAGAGATAGTGTGTGTGTTTGTGCGCAAGATCGGAAAAGAGAACTTGAAAAGATTGAAAATCGGGGAACTAAGAGAATTTTGGTCCAAGAGCTATAGCTTTATAGTGGCCTGCAAAGCCGCGAGATTTTATTGGGTTTGTGTTAACATTAGTTTATGTATAATGGAAAATATTGATGTCATGGTCGATTGAGAAGAAAATTTATGAAATGAAGGAAATGTTTCCAATATTTTATTTTAGTAAGCATTTATATGGTTAGCATATTCTAAATAGCCAGTGCGTCAAGTTGCTTACACGATCTTAAAATTTTGTTGATAGTTCTTTTTACATTTCTTGCAATTTCACAGTGGTATCCTTCAAGAAGATGATTTTTTGAACAGAAGTGGTCCTTGGCGTGATCAGGTCAGTTTTTTCTCCGCAATAATCTCTATTTAATTGTAATTGTATTCATTATTCAAGGATTTTGTCATGCAGGGTCTTTGCCTTGTTGACTGGGGAAGAGGAATCGATCTACGCCTCTTTACGGATCACACAGTGTTTAATGGAGACTGCAGAACTTCTGGGTTTCGTTGCATTGAGATGCAAGAGAAGAGAACATGGAAATTTCAGGTCAGTCTCTTTTTGAAGTGGTAAGCAAATGCTCTCATTTTGGAATGCCCTCACAGTTCAATGCTGCCTGCTGACAGGTAGACGCATATGGCCTTTGTGCTGTTGTCCACTTGATGTTGCATAATGCTTATATGGAGATTGTCAAAAAAGAATCATCCGATGGAGGCCACGTTTATCTACCCAGATTGCCGTTTAAACGGTACATTCCTCAACATCTAGCAGTAGGAAATTGTTACTTCTGTTTTATATGAATTTGTAATTCGTTTCAAAAAAGAAGTTGGGTGAAAACTCCGTTAATTCCCATCTTCCTGAAGGTCAGTTTCAGCAGTTACTTCCTTTGGCAGTCTACTTCCTCTTTCATTCTTATATCTTGCTTGTTGGATACCAGTTACTGGAACGTTGAGCTCTGGAAGACTTTCTTTACCAAGATGTTAAACCAATACCCTGGCAATGATGATAGAAGGTTGCTGCAGGAGTTGAGAAAGTCCTTCGAGGAATATATGGGCTCCAATCCGCAGCTTATAAAGAAGCTAAAGGAGTTACTGGTGAAGCAAAGGTCTTCCTTGTGTTCTGCTTAGTGTACATACCATATAGCCTTTACTGCAATCCTCTTGCAGCATGTTGAGTGCATAATGCACACCCTTTTTAATCCAAAACAAAAAAAAAGAAGCATCGTATCTTTTTTTATAATGTCAATCATGATGTTCATTCCTCTTGTTTGTAGTTTGAGGAGGCATGTAATGATCTCCATTTGGGCGTTTTATTTGAGGTTGTACGCAAATGTAAAGTAAACTGGTCCGATCGTGTATCAATTTCATCTTTCTAGGGTAAAAGTTCCACTGTACTTGTGTTGTTTATTAGAAATCTCGCTAGCTTTTCGAAACCAATGACTAAAATAATAATACTAAAGACCTATTGCATAATTTGCATCGTGTTTGAATCTTTTGTTCAGTACCCTCACACTAGCTTGATTCCAACAGGAAGTGACAAGTGTTCGTGTTTCAATGGTGCCCAATAGCCCCCATTCGTGTATAGTTATGAAAATGTTGGGAAGCCGTATAGGCTCTATGGAAAATATGATTTTTCATTTATTGGCGGTGAGGCCTTGTACGTGACATTCGGCATGCAATATTACAACAGATCTGCATGCCCCAGTGAGGTGGCGTGAATTCAGCTAAAGCATTTCGCTTTCATGATGATATTGCTAGCTACCATGCTTTAATTTGGCTCTACAACTTCTGTGTGCATTTGGTTACACTTATGAATGTTCAAATTGAATTTTGTAAAACCCAGCTTTGATAATGCTTGTTTAGGTGACTTGAAAAAATTGACTTATACAAAATAAAATGTTCCAGCCAGAACCGGGTTTTGCAAACCCAAAAAAAGTTACTTTTAGGAAACTGGGTTTTGCAAATTGGAAGCTAAAGACATCCTCGATCCAAAATTAGAAAATTGGTATTTGCACATGCACTTCAATTGAAAAAAATTTTGAGTACTACAAATATCTATTTCCTTAGAATGATGATATTATTAAATACACTCTTGGTGAAATTATTACATTTACTTGTCAAGTTTACATATGCGGACTTAACTATACACCTAGTGCCTAGTGACATTTTCTTTAATTGAAAAATATATACCTAGTGAGAAAGGAATCTTTAATTTGTGCCTTGTTCTGTTCTAGAACTTTTCCTTTTGATTGTTTGTGATCAAAATAATCATTATAATAGCTATTAATATTTGTTAAAACTGATTATTGAACTACAAATTTTATTTTCTTCAAAATCATGGCAATTCACGCAGAGTAAATAAAAAGAAGATAGACTAGAAAAATTAGTCATAGCTTGAATGAAATAAAATATAAATATAATTTAAGTCTATTCACACAAACTTCACTTAATATTTTATTAAAACTCACATCACATGTTGACAGTAACGGAGGCTACTCCAATTTTAACTGCTTTGTCAGTATTTGATAACTTTGTACTTCACGCAAAAAAAGAATCCTGTTTCTTAAATATTATGAAGAACATTATTCAAGCCTGGCCTAGGGAAAAATTGCAAAAACTGTCACTGGTTTCAGGATATGAATAATGCCAAAAATACAATTCAATGTGATCTTGTAGGCTTTAGCAATACCAACAATAATTAACGTTAACGGACAATCACCAGACAAACTTCAAACAGGAGGAGTCGCCTCTTGTGACTTTGTATTCGGAGCTAAATGCTAAAAATTTTCAACTTCTAATTAAATGCGGTTGTTATCCCTTCGATTTAAAGTAATCCCGTTTCTCATTTACATTACCACAGATTTTCTGAAGCTGTCCTTCTCTAACTCCACTTAAAGAGCATCTTAAATTACTAGGAAGGAGGTAAGTCCTTGTAATGCGCGTAGTCACCATCTTCAAGCTTCTAGGCCACCCCTCGAAAATTTTTTGTCTTCAACTAGATTCATCAGAATTTATGTCAAGTGCAAGCAGAATGTGTCATCTTTGAACATTCTTTGGTACAGACAACGACCCATGAGACAGACAAAATTTCTATACGATGCTTATCTGATGAGAGAGCAGAAATATATAGATACAACCAGTCGCAGCATTCTTCGTAGGTTTTTCTTTCTGTAACGGTTAACTGTCACTTTTAACAGGTGGTTGTGATGATTTTTAGACTCTGGAAGTCATCATTGTCTAAGCATGTGGATTGTTCCAATCCATATACCCTCAAGACAACACATGATTAAGCGCAAGACTAGGCCTTTCCGCTTGAAAGTGAAAGAATCCTTGACTCCTTCATATATTGAATGCCTCATTACCAGATTCTCACAAAGCGATGGCTTCGGTTTCATTCTCTTCCTTTGTCTCTTGTGTGCTGTTTCTTCTTCTCTTGCATTCGTCTTCCATCTTTAATAATCTCTGTGCAGCAAAACACGGTGTGGCCAACCGTCACCACCGTCACCTCCACCATACCCAGAATCCTCCATTAAACCCACGGCTTTACCGAGCTTTTCTTGCCCTCCAAGCATGGAAGCGCGTGATGTACTCTGACCCGCGTAACGTTACTGAGAACTGGGTAGGACCTTCAGTCTGCAACTATAATGGTATATATTGCGCTCCATCTGTGGATGATCCTAAAGTCACGGTTGTGGCTGGCATTGATCTTAATTTTGCAGACATAGCTGGGTTCTTACCTGATGAACTAGGCCTACTCTGCGATCTCGCTCTTCTCCATCTCAATAGTAATCGCTTTTGTGGCATCCTTCCGTTGAGCCTAAGCAACCTTACTCTTCTTTATGAGCTTGATCTTAGCAACAACAGATTTGTAGGGCCATTCCCTTCTGTTGTGCTTTCCCTTCCTACCCTTCGATATCTTGACATTCGCTATAATGAGTTTGAAGGGCCATTGCCTCCTCAACTATTCAACAAACCCTTTGATGCCATTTTCGTCAACAACAATCGCTTCAGCAGTTCAATCCCAACAAATTTAGGCCAAAGCTCAGCCTCTGTGATCGTGTTTGCTCATAACAAATTTGGAGGGTGTCTCCCCGAAAGCATAGTCAACTTTGCGAATACCTTGGAAGAACTGGTCCTAATAAACACAAGTTTGTCTGGTTGTTTGCCACAGCAAGTTGGTTTTCTATATAAACTACGAGTGTTAGATGTGAGCTTTAACAAAATTGTTGGTCCCATACCTTACAGCCTTGCAGGGTTGTCTCATTTGGAGCAGCTAAATTTGGGACATAACATGTTGACTGGTGCAGTGCCAATGGGGGTTTGTGAACTGCCAAACTTGAACAATTTCACGTTCTCCTATAACTTCTTCTGCGAGGAAGAAGGTATTTGTCAGAACCTGACGTCTAAACACATCGTGTTCGATGATCGCCGGAACTGCTTGCCGGAGAAGCCATTGCAGAGGAGCCAAAAGGAATGCAATGCAGTGCTTGAACACCCAGTTGATTGTGCTGAGCTTTGCTGTGTTGGAGGTTCAAGTTCTGCTTCAGTGGCTATGCCACCTGTTCTATCTCCAATAGGAATGCCTGTATCTTCACCTATTACAGCGCCAGCTTATCCATGAACAAGTGTGCTTGTTGATACACATTGGCAAAACAAGGTCGAGGATGATTTACGGTGTGCATATACTTTAATGTTTTAAGTTGTGTGTTCAATTTTATGTAAATCCTATTGTATTATACTGTCCTGTTTCTTAGAAAAGTGTTGTTAAAAGGATCCTCTTATAGATTTATAGGCTCAAACGCGTACCATAAGGGGACCAGAAATATACTGGATATATAATGATTTCCTTCATTCAACATTCTACAATTATTGCTTTCCCTTTAAATTTAATATCAACCGTTTTTTATTAAATAAAGTCGATATCAGCCATTCCTCTATTTATATTGTATGGAAAAGCTAATTAATAAATCATTTTTTTTTGCAAAAAAACTAAAATTTTCCATTTTGAGCATATTGCCTTCTCTTCCAATTATAAAGCTTAATTATGTAACCTTTTCCCTCCCTAATTATACTAACTTCGATTCTTAATATAAGAGTTGACTAATTTAAGTAGGTTAAGAAAATTATTAAAGTTAGTTATTTGCAATAAATTAGTGTTATCTTTTTGAAAAATACTCTTATTAATCATGTGTATTAACTAGAACTATCATTTGATAATATTTTTAACATGTACAACTACTACAAGAATTATTTTGGAAAAAATAGATACATATGAGAAACAAATAAATTGGGATCTTATATTTAAAACTAAATTGAATGTTAAACTAACTCTTACATTAAGTAAGTACAGAAAGTAATATCAGTAGTCTCATGGTTTCCTGCTCCCTGAAGCGGTGGGAAGGGAGAATGAGTATAATGGAAATTACAATTCTTTTCTTTCTGAGAAGGCAATCGCTAACGGGGATTGTCCGTACAAAAACCAAGAGAATCGCAAGCGGACGTTAAGATGATTATAGTCCCGCCTGAAGTTTCCATTGCAAGAAGTTAGTAGTACATTTAAAAGATCCTAAAACAATTAATCAGCTACAAACCAATAATACTGAACACGTCTCTATCCCAACATGCCACACCACAGATGTCAAACCGTGTACAATATTACTCCTCCTTATTCTTAATATAAAAATTATATATTACTCAAGTCCTTAATATAAAAACTAGTTGACTAATTTGAGTAGATTAAAAAAACTAGTTAAGTTGGTTATTTGTAATAAATAGGTGTTGTCATTCCAAAAATATTTTTACTAATCAAGTGTATTGATTATAACTACTATTATCATAAGAACTATCTTGAAAAAAATATATAAGAAATAAAATGAATTAGGATCTTATATTTAAGACCACAATAAAAATCAAGCAAATTCTTATATTACAAATGTGTGTATATTAAAAAACTTAATTAAGTTAGTTACATATTACAAATGTGTGTATATTGGATGATTAAAGTATTTCTGAGAACCTTTGTAATTAATAGGAATATTTTAGGAAAAAAAGAAAGACAACTTGAATTAAAATCTTATATTTAAAATTAAATCCAACCCCCAACTAGATAATTACCGGAGGTAGCACTAAATTACAGACTTATGGTTATATAATAATTAACACTAAACTAAAAGGTAAATCTAAAATTTAAATATGCGGCTCTGTAACTGTTCATTTCCTTTTCAATTATGTACAGAATCATATATTCTTGGTATGTAGCATCAATGAGAAAAATCAAATTACAAATTGCTGTGAGAAGAAACCTTCTCAAAATGTTGAAATGTCAACTTTGACAGCAATATCGTGCTGCCCCAGGGGGGCCATGAAGTTTACCAAAATTTTGTAAGTTCAGCAGTGTCAGTTGATCCTACTGATATTAACACCGTGGAAATCTCCCTAAGCAGGCGGCAGAGGGCGCCGGCATGTAGGGCACTCCATCTTTACATCCATCCATCTTTGCAAACAACCAGAGTGGAAGAAATGCTCACAAGGTGTCACCTGTGAAGATAATGCATTAGACTGACTTCCTCGAAATAGGGAAAGTTCATTCTAAATGAAGGCAAAGGTTATATTCAAATACCATGCAATCATTTGATCGCTGAGAAAGATCAATAACCGTCATGCAAATAACACAATCAGTAGCATGATTTGTAGTTTGACCAAACCTCCTGTAATAGCTGTATTTCTCGGGCAGAATCTGAGAATAATGAAGAAAGCTACTTAAGAGTGTAGTCGTCATGCAGATTCAAGAGAAGCAAGCATGCCAGATCATGATGTGAGTTTGGCGAGGGGGAAAAGACAAACTAGAGACCATGGTGCACAGATCAGAATCTCAACAATAAGGAATGTATGATTTTTTCCATCTTTGCCAGAGCTGAATTACAAAAAATAGAAAATAGCATCCGCGGATGCAGATACTATTGAAGCAACCCAGTTTACAACTAAGACCCCGGGAAACATTGAGAGAAGGGGAAAGATCGAGAAATGAAAATTCCATTTTTCTGATATCCTCTCCCTCTTCTTTTTGTCTCGCAAACAAGAACCAAGTTAAATTTAGTGAGAAAAAAAAATTCTGGGGGAAAAGCATTGATCAAGCCTTCTGAATGCATAAAAGGGTTTACAAGAGCATCGAGGAAAAATGAAAAAGACAAGAGCTGACCCAACCTGACGAGGGATGAACCAGCGGGAACCAAGATAGTTCTGAAGTAGAAGAATTGTAGCCTGAAGTCCAATAAATACAGCCAAACACAAACACCAGCTCTTGTCCGGTTCAATGCGCATGAAGTTTTTGGGGCAACCAAATATGTATAATGGCACTGCTAGGCGAGTGACAGTTATCCCTAAAATATAATGAGGATGCAATGGTTTGCGTGAATCACGAATAACATTGGTAATTATCTGAGGTATCCAAAATGAGTACATGAGAAGAAGTATAGGTCTCAAATAATTATGGAACTGGTACATAAGCAGAATTCCTCCCACCAGGATCCCATCTGCAAAAGAAGTTGGATAATTAACCCAAATTCGAACCACACTTCACAAAGGAACTCTTCACGTCACTTAAAACAGCATTTTTCGACATGCTTCAACAATGAAGAGAACCATCGTTGGCCCCCCAAAAAAAGAAACAATGGAGAGGACCAGAAAAATGTGGATACGGAAGGTTGAAGGTTTAAAAGCCCGAAAACAGATATCACTATATTATATGTGACTTTTGCCATTTCATTACTCTAGATTTAATGTGCTGACCCTGAGATACTAATGCAAGCTATAAGTGCATTTCTGGCCCAAAAGCAAATGATGTCAAGAATATGTGAAATTCTCAATTAATATATCTATATTTTAATGAACAAAATGGAAGTGCAGTCATTATGTTGTTATTTGTTATGTCCATGATATTGTCAAGCAAAATACATACTATACCTTTCTGATAATTTAAGGGGGAAATAGAAGCTATTACTGAGACTTGACTGTTAAAATTAAAAATTGTGTAACCCGGTGCTGATAGGCTCCTGAGTAGAGTAACTGTCATAGTTCAATGGTTCAGGAATAACATAACATGATCATGAATCCTAAGCTAATGAGTTATGGCAAACCATTATTGAAGAAATAAAAGCAAAGATTGAAGACAAAACATTGTAATTTCAAATATTTACTTACAGAAACGCATGTATAAAGATGAAAGCTCACGCCTCATTGTCTCCCAGCCTTCTCCATTACTCAGAGGCCGATTTGCCTTCCATATCGCAAGGAGATACCTCATCTCAAATATTGAGAAGACCACAAACTTGAAAAAAGCAGCAGTTGCAAAAGCATTAAATAAGGATTCTGCAAGGCAGAAAGCAACAGTTACTGATCCAATGATGCAAAGAGGAAGATAATTAGCCACTCAAGCCTGAATCAACCACAAAATCTTTTTGCTTAACAATTGGGAGGGAATAAAAATATATGCAAATATAAACATATTTAGGAAACCTGGGAACCGCGGTTTTCTGGAGGTCTCAGGTTGTGATGATGGAGATGGAAAGGTTTAGACTAAAGTAAAGCACTAATATTTTGATATATTTATATCACTCCAAAGCTGCAAGTCGGTCTATATCTTGGGTTGTGATGATGCAGATGTTACGTCTCATGCAAGGCAGGCAAAAATCTACTACCGAAAAAATTGGCACGATCTGAGTTGAAGAAGATATTTTGATATATTTATATCACTCCAAAGCTGCAACTTCAGTCCATAGGCACGCAAGAGATAAGTTTATGTTTATTTGTCTTCCCTGTTTTCTTTCGGTTTTTTTTGGGGGGGGGTGTGTGTGTGTGTGTGTGTTTATCTGAGCCCATGGAGCAATCTCGAGTAGTAACAGTATTTTCTAGCATTGATTTGAAAAACTTACCAACTAGTATTCCTGCAGTCAGATGTAATAGGCAAAGGTAAGCATCCATTATAGCCTGTTGGCCAATCATTATTATTGAAACCTTAGCAGCTCCCTGAAATGGTATATTAGAATTATAGTCATTCCCATAATCATTGTTGTGAAATATGAAATAGGTGTAAAGTACATCTGTTTAAAATATAAAAAATTTCATTTCAATTCCATCCATTAGTCTAACAAAATTTTTGAAGTAAACTCTTACAGATTGAGTGTTGCTATGTTCCATTTGCCGAATCAACAGAAGAACTTGCAAGAAAGAGATCTGATACAGGTGTATTAAGGAGCTCATGAAGTGATGGACCACAACAACATAACAGTACCATTAACCTGAATGAATGTTTACAATTAAAGGATACAAAGGTAACCATCAAGGTGTAGTTCACTGCTTTGTTATAGTAGACCTCAATGTTAACAGAAGTTGCATTTAACATTAAAGGTGAAAAGCAATCCCCATCATCGTCCACTGAGGGACTCTCCATCAACCCTCCTAGGTGGAATCGATCATGATCCCCATCTGTAGGAGAGTACGTAACAACTAGGTGAGTTTTAGAGGACAGAAAGTGAAAACGAGAATCCAATCAATGAACATGAAATGGAGAAAATTCGTTGCTTGGTGTAGATACAAATCAGATACAATTGTCACATCTACTATTATTAGCTATCTGTATAGGAACACAGGAAGTATTTATATGGCCGAGATAATTCAAGTACCATTCTTTGATGCTGATAGGCGGGAAAACTGTCCTGCAATTTCAATATTGCAATGTTTCTCCATGTCATATAATGGAGCTGAGGTAAGAAGGACAAAATAGGCAGTCACTAAAAGATAAACAAAAAGAGAAGAAGAATATGCTTCAAAATATGGTAAAAAAGTAAATAACTTACAATGTTTATTTCTCCGTGTCTTATCTCGTGAGGATTCTTGGAATACCTGAGATGAGAACAATCCAAGCTGTGCCAAGAAAGGCATACGTGTGGAGGTAAGTACTCTGAATGCTTATTGTAACATATATAAAAACTGTATTTCTTTACAATCTGATATTTATAGAAAGGATCTGCGAGGTGGTATTCTTTTAAAGATAACAAGGATTTATTGAAACTATGGCATGATGTCTAATTCATTTCAAAATCCCATTTAAAGAACCTAAATGAGAGAAACCTTTTGAGAAGAAGATAAGAAAAAATTCTAATCTCTAACGTTTAGTATTCTTGAATATGGCACTCAAAATTTAAAGCTGCATTCTCATACTTCAAAGGCTAAGAATTTCATTAGAACATGCTAGCCCAGGTAGAAGTATGCCACTACAAACATTGACGTCCAGCATGAAAGATAAGATAAATAACGCAAAAGAGGTAAAGGATAAGCCAACAATCTGACGAGCAGAAAATTTTGCCTATGAAAAGGATGGCACAAATTTGAATCATAAAACATTCAATAATTCTTAGGACGTTTTTGGACTCCAAGAAGTGTAAGTTTACTACACTTCCTTATATTATGAAATGACAGACAGACGATCAAAACAAAATTTGCACCTATTGTATGCCATATAATCAGTATAATAGTGAAAAGCTCAATGATACATCAAAAAACATGTGTTACCAGATGATATGGATTAGATAAGATATAATCTTCATCCTGATTTGAATTTCCCTCTTTCCCACTGCAATAAGTGGAATAAAAGAAACTCTTTAGAATATTCAGAATCAGTGTTTAATCTAAGGAAATATGATATTTCAATTGCAAATGGAATTATACTATCAAATGAAAAGAATTTACACAATAAAACAAAAACACAAAAGAAGTGTTTCAAGGCGAAGTTCCATATACGGAGAAAAATAAAGTTGAGAACTTTAAAATACATTAAGACCTCAAATCTTAATCCTAATTTATTATTAATTCAAATACTCATAATCTTATTTAAAATCATGTGTTGTATTTATAATGTGTAATTTACAAGTAATTAATATTATATTTCCTAATGAGAGCTCATCCTTCATTACGATGTTCCAAGTATGATCAACTGCAAAGTTCAGGAAGCAAGGTCTCAAACTTTATAGTCGATAAGCTCTATTTCCTCATACTCGCCAAGGACACACAAGTCAATGAGTACATACATTTCATTCTTAAATTTCAAACTTTTCCTAATTAATATTTATTAACTCATTAATTTGAGGGAACAGAAAATATTTAATGATATATCAACCTGAACAATGTTATATATAAGGTGTCCAATAAACTTGAGCTACACATCATGGTAGTAATGAGGCATTTAAGAACTCACCTGTTAGCTACCATTCGAAGCTGTTTAAAAGGCCATATATATACACCTTCCACTCTGATTTGAGCACCACCAACATTGTACTCATTGTCAAACACATCATGGAATATAACCACCCCCTAATAACATCCATGAACAATTTTTTTTTTTAATAGTGGAATAATATAAAATAGAAAGAATCAGAAACCCTAACAGCGAAGAAAGCCAACTTCTATATGAAATTAGTTCAAATCATTCATCTCACCTGAACATAATGCACACCAGTTATTTTTGTGGGCGTACTAAATAATTCAATTACCGAATTGCCATTTGTTTTCCTGATGTCTGAAAATCTTGAAGAGCCATTTGCAGTATCTAAAAAATTCCATGTCCCTGTAACTCCAAAGGTCAACACACAGACATCTTCAAGTTCTGACAAACTTAAAACTCATTACATAATAAATTATTGCGTAAAGCTCATTCAAAACTATGATGCAAACGCAGTAACATAAAGCATATTTTTGTCGAAGTGTACACATTTCATTTATTCTAGTGTTCTCATGAACAATCGTCAGTACAGGAGCAGTCCAAAAGCCACAAGTTAATTGAAAGTAACTCAGGATCAGGGGTCCTACATTACGCCGGGCCCCAGCCTTTTTGCCATAGTTTCTTCACATGAACCATCTATCCAATGGCAGTCAAATAAGCGTGCCTTTGACTAAAGCAAAGTGCGCAGAGCAAATGAACATCTTTTGCCCAAAAAAACAACACTGAGAAGAAAATTAAGTCCAAATTTTTATAATAAAAAAAAAGGAAAGCTTATCAAAGAGAAGAATGAGTAACAAAAAAACACAGGACACGAGAATCTAGTCAATAAAAAGAAAAAAGGCACTAATCCAGAAAGAGCACGATCCATTAAAATTATGTGGGAATCAAAATATACAAATTTCAAGTGATTATGTTTTAAAGAAAGAACATTGTCATCATTCATCAATCTGGGCTGTGGTTACATCTAACATTTACCCAAAAGATATAGCCAAGCCACACATGCTTAGGAGCAGCGAAGCATACAAACCTTTGTAAGTTCCTGTTATGTTCCATTGTGAAAATTGATCACTTTCATCTTTCGTTGAAAAGAGCCACTGAAAGAAGTAATATCAATCAAACGCAAGCACGTGTCTGTCAGATTTTTCCTTAATCATAAAATCATAATATATCAATGAGCAAAAGATATTTTGTTTTACATCAAAAGCAACCATATATAAGCTTTTTAAATAAAAGTGATCATAACAGGATCAAGTGAACGTCCTTGAGATGCTATAACGTCAATAAAATTTCCTTATTTTGAAAAGATCCTGCAACCATATCATGCACAATAAATATAATAGTCCTTTAAATTAAATACATTTGCACATTTTCTATTTCACATTACACTTGAAGAGAAGATGTATGCTTGAGCTACTTTTTAGTACGGTGATTGTCTGGAGACGCAGCTATGCCATAAGCAAATGTCCAATCTTAAACATCATTTGAGATGATATAGGTCCTACCTTGATCAAATTCTCAGCAGATTTATGGTGATATAAAAGCAATAATTGTTCAAACAGTTGGTGATTGTGAAATTCTTCTAGCCTCTGAGCACATTAACCAACCTCAATTTCAAATATAACAAGGGCGCATTTTGACACAAACTTCTTCAACCATATATGAACTGTCTCAATATAGTTCCCCGCTTCTCTTCTCCTATCAAGAAGTGTGGTTCCCATCACTAATTCCTTCATCCAGGAAACTAAGGTAATTTCTTATCCTATCCAGAGGTGCGGTTTTTCCTCGCCAATGTGCAAGGTGCAACTGCATTCCCCAAAACGACTTCCCCTTTAATTTATTGGAACAGAACATTCACAAACTTCCGAGCTTCAGCTCGCAACAGAGTGGGGGATACAGCAGTAGCAGATAGAGGAACCCTAGCAGTATAATATCAAAGTAAATTAAAATACCAGACTCAATGATCAAGATTACGGTGAATAAACTTGAACCAAGATTAAACTTGAATCAATAATCCAAGTTACAAGATGCATACTAATCACTATGGTTATTGGTCAATAGGTAAAACGGAGGTTAAAGACATGCTCCGATACAAACCTCATCGCTCCATGATCGAGTTCTTTCTCTTAATGGTCTCAGACCCGCAGCAGGTCGAAGCAACAGCAGAACAACCCACCACACATACACAATCTGGAATAAAAACCCTAGTTCCTTCCTCTTAAACAACGAAAAGTTCAATTTTTCAGGGTAAACCATATCAAATACTAAGCATAACATATCAAAAATTCAACTCCAATTGGACAAGCCACTTCTTAGTCGCAGCTGATTGCATCGAATCCAGGAGAATAACCCGAAGCCCGTCATAGCAAATAAGTAAAAGAGGACAATAGGTTGCTTCAAAAGGAGCAAAACACTAGTGCTAGCCGGCGCGCAACGACGAGTCACAACATGATCAGAAACGGAAAGTGAAAGCCCAACGATAAAATAGACCACCAAAGGCAATTTACCAAGCAAAGGCTTCCTTCTTCCGCTTGGTTCTGACAATTGTAGTTCACGTTATACTAAATTAGTAATAATTGGAAGGCAAAAAAAATTAGATTTTTCAACCGAGGGAGATTTTCTTTATTGAGTTCGCAAACGGCGGTGGTTGACAAGCGCGCCACACCGGTTTTTGGTAAACGGGGGTCATTCTGGAAGGAGAGAAGGGAATATCTCACGCTCTCCAGGGGAAGTGGAACCACGCCCCGATCAAGCAAGTTGCAGCAAAAGATTCAGCAGTTGTCCTCCTCATTGAGAGATATGCGTGGTTCTCACGGGTGGGACGTTAGAGCGTCGGTCTGGATTGAAGTTACGAGTTAGTTGCCACAATATAGAGGTAAAATAATAAATATAAATCTCTTTCACCACAAAATAAATAGGGAAAATTTCACTGTAGAACCGCAAAAGACAATTAATTTCAAAGAGCCTCCAAAACTTTCTGAAACTTCACTGCAGGACCAAGGGGCAAACTGATATTAATTCCACAAAGAAAATGACGCTATTGCCCCTCATAATACTTATTGCAGGGTGACATGTAAATGGATTAATTTCAGTTGTAAATAAAGGTATGTATGTTGCAAATTGACTAGTCCCATTTGCAAATGAGCTCTCTCACACTTATTCACTTACAGGCACCTTTTTCAGGTGAATAAGGTGATATGTAAATGGACTAATTCTAATTGTAAATAAATGTATGTATGTTGCAAATTGACTAATTCCACTTGCAAATGGGCGCTCCCACACTTGTTCACTCACGGAGACCTTTTTCAGGTGAAGGAAGTGACATGTAAATGGATTAATTCCAGTTGTAAATAAATATATGTATGTTGCAAATTGTCTAGTCCCACTTGCAAATGGGCTATCCCACACTTGTTCACCCAGACACATTCTTCAGGTGAAGAAGATAATATGTAAATGGACTAATTTTAATTGTAAATATATCTATACATGTTGTAAATTATCTAACCTCACTTGCAAATGGGTTCTCCCATACTTGTTCACACGAGGGGCAATAGGGTCATTTTCTTTGTGGAATTAATATTAGTTTGCCCCCTTGGTCCTGCAGTGAAATTTTAAAAAGTTTTGGGGGTTTTCTGAAATTAATTATCTTCTGCGGTCTTACAGTGAAATTTCCCCAAATAAATAAATAGACGCATAAGCGCTTGTCTATTGTCCCCACTCAAGCATAGAACGGAGTACGAGAATTGGTGGGGGAAAAAACAAAAAGAATGCCCCTTTGAATTTGGCTTCTTTTTTTTTTTTTTTTTTTTGCGTCGCTCTTTTTAATAAACAAGCAATTATCCATATTCTTAGTAATGTAATGGCAGAAAGATACAGGAGTACTTTAAGCAAATCTTAATTTAGGATTTTGAAACTGGTCTGATTATTATGACTTTCCTATGAATTAGTATGAGAATAAGGCCTTATTTGAAATCATGTTTGTAAGCACTTACGTCACATTTTAAGTGAGCCGAGTTCCCCATATACTTATCTAGTATTGCTTCTAATTTTTAATATAAAAATAAGTTGATTAATTTGAGTATATTAAGAAAACTAGTTAAATTAGTTATTTATAATAAATAGATATTATTTTTTTAAAAATATCTTTGTTAATCAAGTATATTGACTAGAATTACTATTAATATAATGATTACTTTAGAAATAAATAAATAAATATGAGAGACATAATGTATAGAATCTTAGAACCAAAATGAAAGTCAAACAAGTTTTTATATTAAAAATCGGAGGTAGTATTTTGTAAATTAAGATTGAAAAAATTATTTATAAACCATTTTAAATGAGCCTAAATTTTGTAGTAAAATTACAAAAATATCATTAATTGTTATTGTTTTGGTTGGTGTTATTCACTACATTGTTGTTGTCATTTTATTTCTCAGAATTTAAATTACATGATTTAGATAATTTTATTATAAAATTTAATTCAAAGCTCGTTCACAGGAACTTCATATTGATAAGGTCATCTCGGATCTTGATTTGGGATACTTTAGCGTCTTTCTTCTTAATATGATTAAATATGATTTAATTATTGTTGATTTGAATTTCTTATTTAAGTGTATTTTCACATACTTGGTATATTTAAGTCCAGTCGGGTCTTTTTTCGACTTCTTGTGTGATGTTTTGCACAGCTTGAAACTCATATTGACCGGCTTTATTTTTTGTGTTCTTGAAATAATTTGGGTATTTTAGTTTTCAAATGATAAAATGATGTCAACGTGCTGAATACACACCCGCGCATCCGCCTGGGAAGTGAACTTGGAAGACTCCACATTGAAGGAAAAAAGGAGCCAAAACCAAAAAGTGGAGAAAGCAGACTGTAGTGCTAGCAGGGTTCGCGGTGCAAATGGACGGTGCAGGCAAAGGGACAGTGACTCCGCTGGCCTCTCTCTTTCCGGTAGAGGAGGCTCAGAACGCTGCGAAGCGCGTGCAGGACGCGATCGCTGAGAAGGATAAGGAACTTGACCGTCTTCGAGGGTTTATCGCGGACAACAATAACCTCATCAACCTTGTTCAGAAGCTCCCCGAAGAGCTCCATCACGATATAATGGTGCTTTCACATAACCAAGCTTTGGTTCTCCTTTATCGTACTTATTTCCTGCTGGTAACTGAAAGAAATTTTTAACTTGGGATGTGAATCCTCTGTCTAATTGTTCTCAGGTCCCGTTTGGGAAAGCAGCATTCTTCCCGGGACGTTTGATTCACACCAATGAGTTTTTGGTATTGAATTTTAGTGCCCCTTTCTTTGAATTGCTGATTTGTCTATGCTCGCTGAGGCGAGAATTTCAGTTGAAAGTAGCTAGTACTTTCCTTGCAGGTTCTTTTAGGAGAAGGTTATTATGCGGATAGAACGTCCAAACAAACCATTGAGATTTTGAGACGAAGAGGCAAGTCTTTGGAGTCCCAGGTTAATTCTCTTGAGGCCATTATCAAGGACCATAGAGCCGAGGCATCATTTTTCAGTGCCACAGCTTCTGAAGCGGCGGTAGGTTTTGTGCAGTGGAGGAACAGTTTCTGTATAAACTTGAAATCATAAAGATAACGGCTTTATTAAGTTCGTGCGTGAGACTTCTGTTATTGGTACCCAAATTTTACCATGAATTGTGGATGCACTGGATTATGATGGGTATATTTCTGTTTATTGTTGTGTTGATGCTTACTTTCATTGGATGATTAACTGATGTGTTGGCTGAATATGGCACAGGAGGGTCTTGTAGAGATAAGGGAAGATTACGTGGAGGAAAACTCAGTCAAACAGGAATTTGAATCTGGTCTGTCCCTGCTTTCCGTTGCCTTGCATCATTTAAGATAGGGGAAAATGATAGTTGGTATTCCCTGTAAAATGAAGTTGGTAGAAAGCATGGAAGTTCTATTGGAATCTTAATCCTCTTATGAAAGATTCAGTCTTATTTAGTTTTGCGGTTTAGGGCTTGATCAACCTTTTATGCTTCTTCTTTGTTCCTGTGTCATTATTGTCTTCTATTTTGTGTTGAATGTGACACATGAGAAATGAGGTCTGTCTCATTATTGTCATTATTGTCTCTATTTTAGTCTGAAAAAAGATGCCAATGTTTTATTTCAGGTCCACTGAAGCAAGATGTTTCTGGTTTTGCTGGTGCTGAGAAAGAAATAACTTCAGCTGATGATGAGGAATTTACTCGCATGATGTCCAGGTTGGACGAACTAGAGGAGCAAGAGCTTGCTGCTGAAAGGGGTAATCACGGTGATGAAAACGAGGGAACTATGAGTGATTTTGATGTGGCCTCATATCAGGGACCTATTGATGACAATCTCCCAAATTCAGAAGTAATGTTCTAGATTAATTTGTTGGATTTCATTTTATAAATCTTGTACAGTAGTTGGCTAAAGAGAGCCAAAGGGGAAAAAAAAGAAAAAAAGAGAGAGACTATCAGCACATTGGACTATGATAGCTTATCACCTGATTCTGATCACTGCTCATATAGGACATCCAACGAACGGTGGATCTGAAGCAGACTAATGATGTAACAACTAAATTTCCTGAAGAGCATAAGTATCAAGATGATATAGCTGATTATGTAAGATATCATCTTGTTCTTTTAGTTTCAGGTTTAAAGTTCTTTAATCCAGCTAATGCAGCATTCTTTTGCATTGTAATTTTAAAATGCAGTTTGGAAGCCTTGCATTGCAATCTCAAGTTGGAGGTGAGACTTCAATGATTTCTGTGCTCTCTTATTTTGCTGTGATGCGTGTTTGTGGTTCTCTGTCCCTTAAAATGGCTATATTGTTCGTCACTCATTCTTATACATCTTCTTTTGTTGTATTAGAATCTTCAGAGGGTAAAACTATGCCAAAAAATCTGAAAAACTCTGATGCTAGCGAAAAGTCAACTATATATCCTGAACGGAAGACAGTTCAAGCAGGAAATTCATCGAAGGCTGAGGTATATAGATCTTATGATGAATTCTTCTTGCATCATCCCCTCGTGTGCTCTGAATTTCATTCATAATTTCTTAAATTGGAAATGACATGCAAATTAGTCTATTTTTTGTTATGCATGTAGCAATGCCACTATCATTTTTCTTTACATTTTTAAATATTGCATCTTGGTTGGTTCTTAATATCATTAAACTTCCCCGCTTGTTGATGAGCGCCCTTCACAAGGTGATAAATGATGTTTGTCATCCTCTAACATCTGATAATGCCTGCTTTTATTTGTTGCTTGATGTGCAAATAAATCAAATACATAAAAAGAAGTATTTTACTTATTGCTAGCCCCAAAAAAAAGAAAAGAAAATAACAGTTATAACATTTTAAAAATTTTTTTTGCATTCCATAATGTCCTCATGACAATAACAAAGGTCTGGAATATTCAAGGGTGTAATCAGGTCACAGTTGATATAGGTGTCGATTGAGAATTCAATCATGTGCGTGCCAGAGTAAAGGAATTGAGAGCTTAAAATTTGGTATTTGAATGTGTAGAGTGGGTTATCTCTCGACAAAAGGACTGTAAGTAATACGTAATATCAGATGATTTGTCGCTAACATATAACGTAAAGTTGTTTAGGTGCTTTAACCCCCTAATATTGAAGTAATAATGAGCAAAGACCAAAGACTGTGAGGAATCCGATAAGTGTCTGTCAGATTTTGTGCTTACTGTGATGCCAGCCGGGCATTGTGGGCTTGGACCAGATAACTGAAACTCAGTGAGAAAAATAATTATGTTAATATCTTGCCAGAGTTGGGTGCTACTGCTAGGCATTTGAGGCTAAAAGGTCAATGAGATGCTCATCCTGATGTGTCATCTTAATTTCTTGAGGTCTTTGCGGATGCATCTGGTTTAGCCTTCTCTCAGTAGTTACTTCTTTCTTTTTCGCCTCTCATCCCTGGAACCAAAATGTAAAATGACCCCAAATGAGCAAAACTCTAGATTATGTGCAAATTATTGCAGCCTTGCAAAACTCCATTTTAGATTATAACTTGGTGTGCAATTATTTCTTTTACAGGTCCAATACCAAGCTTCACGCCCATCATTTGATAGTCAAAAGGTATGTTGACAACTATTATCTCTTTTTTGCTGTACTAGGACCATGACTAAATGAGCACTGGCTGATAATTTTGTACGCTGCGTTGTCAGCAGGCCTCTACAAGCTCCATTGGTGGGCATGCTGACCATACACAAGGAACTTCAAGAATAGAAAATTCAACTGCATCACAGGTAGATTTACTGATGCAGAAATGTTTATAGTACCATGCTCGGTAGCTTAATCATCATTGGCATGATGTACCATTATTTCCTTAACAGGTTGGACGCCAGACTTCAGAACCATCATTTGATAGTCGCAAGGTATGCTTACAATCTCTCGCTCCCCATGACACATTCCGCGGCAGATTATCAGTCCGTCAAATATATGTTATCTGCAGGCTTTTACAGGCTCTATCATAGAGCATGCTGAGAATTTACAGAAAACTTCAAGAGAACAAAATTCAACATCATCACTGGTACTGCGTAGATTTGTTAATTTAAGTGTGGTGTTTCTACATGAGTATAATTCTTTATGCTTTTTATGAATGACAATTAATCCCATTATAATCATGAGTCATGGCCTTTACAGGTTTCTGGTTCACAACCTTCGAAACCAGTCTCGAGATTCAAAATGCAGAGAAAGTAGCTGCAATATTTGGAAAATGTTTAGGTTCTTTAAGTTGGCAATGGTGATGGCGTCCATATTCGGTCAAGGTCAACGATGTCTTTGTAGAATCAAAAGGGAAAGAGTTATTGTAGGATAAACCAAGAGGGAAATGAGCATCAATGTTCATTGGTAAAAGTGAACTGGGGGGGGGGTTTAGGAATTGCTGATGTTCCTGGACTATGATTACGAGTCAACAAATTTTGCTACTAGTATTTGCTCACGTGGAATTGGGAACACAGACACTTTATTAGCTATATAGAATTTTCTTTTTTTTCGTAATAAAATATATAGAATTTCTCGTAAGCCTCTACAAGGGAGAAAGGGATATTGATTTTTTTTTTTTTGTCACTTGATTTGCTAAGCATAATTCCTTGGTTTAACTTATAAGCTAGAGGGGAGTAGAAACATATGTTGATTTTTCTGTTTTCTTTGTATTCTCCCCATGTTTATAGTGAGGTATCCCAATCAGAGTAGTTGATGTATTCGCTTTCTTTATATTACGCCCTCTGGAGATCTATAACACAGCTAAGAATAACATCAAGACTAATCAATCAAATGCAGAAAGCCTTACTGCAATTCTTGGCAAAGACAAGTATGACTGTACATCCTGATATGTATACTGCACACTGTTCTCATTTTCTATCAACGAGTGCCCTATGTGCAAATAAGTATAGTAGTCCTTCAGCCTTCACTGGCAAGAGGAAGACTGTACCCTTCGGCTTCAAGGTATCTCCTTCCTCCTGTAGTCCTGTATTCTTGAAGCACTTCCTCTCTTTCTCTTGGAGTCGCTGATAATAACCACATGCTAAATTCAAGCTCTCCCATGCCTCTAGACCGAGCGAGCAGCCTAAATTGGGCTCTCTTCCTCTCATTGATGATGGGAACTTTCTGTTTTTTAACTGCAAACTCTGGTTCTTCTCCCTGGACAAGAGGCATGCTTTGGCTTTCACTGTGATGGATGGTGGTCTGTCTTCCCTCGAATGGCGGAACCGAAGTTGACTATGTCTTCATTCCGATGAGCATAGACAATGCCTAAGACACAAAGCATCAGTTAATTATAAAGAAAAATCACTTTGTCATTCCCCAAATCAATAAAGCAAAATGAAAAAGACGTGGGGTTCAGTTGACAAATTGAGCTCTATGACCTTGCTTCTCAAATCGGAGTAGGACCAAGACACAGCCGGACAAGGATTAGTCCCATAGTTAATTGAAGGGGCATCTTCATGTCTTACCCAAAATAGAAGTGAAAAATGAAAAAAAGATGCGCATCTTAGGAGGTTCAACGCACCATTTCAAAATCAAAGCCGCAGGACCAAATGATATTTGCTAACCATGAAAACCAACATTATAAGCACGCAGCTACTTGCCCTCAGTCTCTTGGACACCAGCCATGATAAGGCAAACAAAAAGGCAGGTCGAAGTTGATCAGTGTAAATTTGCTACGGACCAAGGATGCCCCTACTTCTAATACGCCATTCCCCATTACGATGTGTGCCGGTAAAAGTAAAAACTTTAACCAAGGTATCTTTGAAGACGAAGAGTAAAATGATTTAATCAGTTTCAACTTAAAAACTATTTGTTGAATGGCAACACGCAGGTTTCGTGTTCCAAAAAAGAGGGGACTTAACAATGGACGGGATCCTCAACACTGGAGACGAAGAGTAAAATGACTTACCAAGATCTTCCAGATCTGCTTCACTAGTTGAAGTCCTCTTATAATTGGTTGATAACCTGCTCCCAGAACCAGATACTAATATATCAGCTTCTTCTGAAGGAACAAGTTTTTCTCCTCGCTCTCTTCTACGCCTGTGCTCTTTTCCTTCCTTATCATGCACATGAACTAGTTCGCTTGTAAAAAGCTTGTCAGATAAATCTCGAAATAAATTGCAAATTCCAAAAAGTTCCCCCTGAAATTCCTTGCAGTCCTGCATGAATACTAACGAGTAATTATTCACTTTCAAGAATTATGTATGAATACGTTAATAGATATCCACAACCAAAATGCATAGATTTGGTACCTGGACCCTTCAAAATAACGCTTTTCCATTTTTCCAGAGACAGCAATATTTGACAGTTGCTGCTTGTAGATCTGACGAGAATAAACAAGCTCTTCAAGTGAGCCAGCTGCAAGAAGCCGGAATACCACAACATGTCGCTTCTGCCCAAATCGGAACGACCTGTCCTGTGCCTGTAAGTCTTGAGCGGGATTCCAGTTGGGATCAAATACCACCACACGATTTGCACTGACAAGGTTCAATCCAAGCCCGCCAGCTCGAGTTGATATCAAGAATACCTACAATCATAAATAAGAGCCCAATGGCCAATTGAATTGAATGGCCCTAAACAAGTATCATTTTGAGGCCCCGGCCGAAAAAGAAAACCAGAAGAAGTATCATCTTGAGAGGCTCACTTGTTTGCTTGGACTTGAGTTGAAGTCATCAACCAGAGACTGACGTAAATTAGTTGGAGTAGATCCATCAAGCCTTGAGAAGCAGTAGCCTTTTCTTATAAGAAATTTCTCCAATATGTCAAGCATTCTGCAAAGTGCAAAAGGAGCACAATACCAAGAGAAAAATAAAAATTTGTTCCAGGAAAAAGAAGGCATAGCACTTCGCAAGTCCCAGTATTGTTCAGTATCTGAGAACATGCGCCCTCATGGACTGTTTATAAGCAAAAGATCAAACAAAATCTCTACAATCCATGGAGTATCTACTTAAACCACAGTTAGGTCATAATCCGCAGAAGGGTCTTCAGACTTTTTTGAGCGGGGATGGGAAGAGAAGTGGGGTTTGCTTATGGATAATGGTAAAATGTATGAACTCAGTCTTGAGCCATTCCAAACGTGGATAAAAAGTTCAGTCTGATTGCCAATTGGCCTATTATCCATACCTTGAAACAATGACTTTGAAAAACAGAATATTCTTAAAACATAAAAGTCACTGTCTACCATTGGCCAAAAAGAAAAAAAAGATCAATAAAACCTAATGAACCATACAAGCTAAATCTAGAGAACTGGAGGTGCTCAAAAAGTAAAAAGTTCTGAGGTGTATCACCTTACAGAATAGCTAAACACAAGTATTTTATCACCCTGAGAGATCCATGAAAACAAAAGTTTTTCAAGTGCTCTCATTTTTCCACAATGTTTGACATCACTTAGACCCATAAAATTCTCATTCTGCGTGTTCCCACCCACCAAATCTATATCATGGCCAAAGACAGCAGCAGCAAACTCTGCGTCTTTTCTTTGTTTCTCTGGGTCATCTTTGGGGTTTGGCTTGATCAGCTCAAGGTGATTGCTTATCTGGCATAAAGACAAAACAGGTAACATCAAAGTAATGAAAGCACGTCTTATTAGCACGAGACAGATGGTATACTTTCTTCAAAGAAATAAAGCAAAACCAAGTTAAACAGAAAGGCAACAATGCTCAACATTCTGCAAAGAAAAGTGAAATCTAAATTTTAGTTGTTGAGAAATCAAAAGCACCATGCATAATTACAGGGTTAGCTAATCTAAGGCACTGATAGAATTAGTCAATTTGAGTCACAAATCATTAACATACTCATAACGTCCAAACGCATCGGTTCCAAAAGTTCCCTTTGTATCAAATCCTCCGATAAATTCAAGTGAGTAGATGCTATCTCCACATAGCAAAATGAAGTCATTCAACTAAAGTGAATATCGATGAGTTAGACAAAAGATTTCAAACAAAGACAGTCATATCATGTCCTTTTTGAGTCAAGTCACTCATCCTACTTCATCTATTGTATCTTCACAAATCATGCATGCATATCTTCTAAAATTGAGGCAATGCTTTGCTTTCAATTCCCTGTTAGAATTGTTGAGCTGAATCATTACAAAATTTACCAAAAATAGCAAGCCACGACGGCCATAGCTATGAATAAAGCATCTTTTAAGATATACAACTTGCGGAGATGCTATAACCAAAAGAGAGGTGCAGAAATGTTCAAGATCTTACTCAACCTGTTGGAGCTTGACAAGGCAAGGAAGGACAAGGCAAAAGGGACATGAATCACAACCATCAGGGTTATCTCTGTGGAGGTAAGGCCAAATGATTCCATTTGATACAATCCTCTTGCAACATTCAACTTGTGTGAGTGGGCTTCCACAGCTACAAGGCAAATCCTTATTAATGAGGCATTGGATGTCAGGAAGTTGTAACATTCTCCGATATGCCCGTTTCTGTAATTCACTCATGGCACAGAACACAACATTATCTTCCTTTCCCATCATAAGATGCCCAATGGTCTCTTCCTTCGTCCTTCTTAGCATATATTTCTGAAGAACTGTAACAAGGTGCAGTTTTCGCTTGTTGGCAATATCAACAAACCTCTTCGGAGCAGTTGACCTCTGACCATGCTTGAGGGGTTCATCATAGAAATCTCGAAAATGTTCCCGTGTTCCCAGGGATCCTGGAACAACCCAGTCAAAGAGATTAAACAGTTCCATGATCTTATTTTGCATGATCGTGCCAGTAAGACCAAAACGTCTTTGGGTTTTTATTTCTAAACATGCTCTGTAGAGCTTTGATTTCTCATTCTTGAGCCGATGAGCCTCATCAATGACCACAATATCCCATTTGATTTCTGACAAGATGCTACCATGAATTCTGTATGTGTCAAAACTGGTAATAAGTATCTCCACTCCATGTGCTTCCAATTTATCATATATTAGATCTCGGTTTGAACCATGATAAATGGAAACACTAAAGTTTGCCCATTTAGAGAACTCACTCTCCCAGTTATGGATAACAGAAGTTGGGCAAATTATTAATACAGGGTCTCTTTTCATTGCTTGATTTTCCTTTGGCATATATTCTCCATCTTTACCAAACACAGCAGCAAGAAATGCTATTGTTTGAATGGTCTTTCCAAGACCCCTGTTTCAAAATCCCAACAATAAAAATTGAAATTGCAGAAGAAATTGTGACAAAAAGGCAAAATAACCAAATTCCCCCACACCCCCCCCCCCAAAAAAAAGGGAGGAAAGACAGCCAATATCGATATCACACAAGGTAAAAGCTAAGAATTTACATTGCAACAGATAGTTTCAGCAATTACATAAGAAAATGAAATGATTAAGAATACTGAGCATGCCAATATATGACAGATAGATTCACTAAAATGGATTGCAACGGCTTAAGTTAGCATAATATGTGAAGAGAAAAAGATTAAACATGTGACTCACATGTCATCGCCAAGAATGCCTCCATGATTGTTTTTATACAAACTATACAGAAACTTCACTCCCGCTCTTTGATGTTCAAGCAGTCTGCAGTTGATAGATGCAGGAACCTGAAACAATGAATTACTCTTTAAAGAATAATTTTCTTCATATTTCAAACTGCAAAACTTCAGTGCAAAAGGTTTTACGCCATATGCTGTCTAACAGTTATCAATGTTGAGACAGCTGTAAACGTCTATTTATAACGCATCCACTGTGTTACTCATGTCCATGAATGTTTGAACTATACCGTTATTTCCCTATAGAACTGTGTAGCACACTGCTGAAATCGTAAAATGCATTGGTATAACTAAGAAAACCGTTAATCACCTCACAAATGACTCAGTATTTAATCTATCATAGCATTAACAAACAAGCTCCTGACAATGCCACAGACGGGGGGGCAAGTAAAGCCTGTTTTTTAGGTATGTCCGCATTCCCGAACTGTAAATTGCTAAATTACACCCATGCACAGAAACTACATCTCTGATGTGGGTGCGTAAGAGTCATTTTTCTTTTCTTAAAGAAAACAGCTCGAGGGTGTTATGATGATTTCTTGAACTAGTTCCAGGAGAATATGATTTTATTTATTCAATACACAAAAAATAGGAAGAAATGATGACACATTTTCTGCCAAAACTACTTAAACGACCTACTTAAACCAATTCATCGACCTGTTTACCACGAATAACCATTAAGTTTGACTAAAGTTCAAGCCAATTGCTAGATTCAGCCAAGGATGCAACCAGAGTCTTTTTCTTCCCAAACAGTTATTCGACTGTTTCAAGCATATTAACTGGACTGAAACCTTTGCATAAAGTAAACTCCATCGAAAAAATATTTGCGTTCATGAAAACCATTAAGCTTCAAAAACATGGAGCCACCTGTACTACTGGAACTTCTCCATCCGAAGACAATACCAGAGGCTCAAAGGGTCCAGTATGATCGAACTGAAATTGACACAATTTAGCTCTACCGAATTTTTCCCTCTTCAATTCTGGCTCCTCCTCCTCTTCCTCCTCCTCCTCATCATCATCATCCACGACGTCACTACATTTCTGTTCCCTTTCTCGCTTAGGTGAATTGCGAGGCTGAATTAGGGGAGGAGCAAGTGGGTCTTGCAGGCGACGAAGCTGCTGGGTGAGAGAGGACTTTGGGGGTTTCCTCGGGATTGGGAAGTCGGAATCTCGGAAAATCGAAGATTGCGCTTGGCTAACCGATGGAGAAGACGGTTGGCTTGTGCACGGCTTGAGAGTCTCCTTGAAAGCGCGCAGTGACATGGGAGAGGAGAGCCTTTCTGGAAACCGCTTCGCTCCTGAGAGCGCGCTTGATCTAATACGTTTTAGATTTATTTTATTTTTTTTGCCGGCAATTCATTTTAGAATTTTACTGTTTTTAATATTAATAATACTATAGACTACTTCCTCCCATCTTCATTATAAGAACTGGTTAACTAATTCAAGTAAATTAAAAAAATTTATTAACTTATTTATTTGTAATAAATAAGTATTATTTTTTTAAAAATATCCATGCTAATCAAGTATATTGGTTAGAACTACTATTATTACAAAAATTATCTTAGAAATAAATAAATATGAGAAATAAAGTGGATTAGGATTTTATATTTAAGACCAAAATAAAAATCAAATAAGTTTTTACATTAAGGAGCGGAGGGTATTGCTTTTTTTTTTAGCTGAATATTAATACTATATACTAAACGTTATATTTAAAGGTTAAATATACAATTTTACATTCTAAATGTTTTAAATAATATATGGCAATTATAATTAAAACTATAATAATTTTCTAAAATTATCAAATTATATAAATATAATATATATAATAAAATGACTGTCATTTTCCGGCATTATACATTTAAATATGTTTTTTAGTTATATTATCCCAAAAAAAGTTGGTTAAACATAATTTTTTTATAAAAAGTTATTTTACTATGAATCATGTTATATTAATTAACTTTTATCCTAACCTCAATTTACAAACGTTATTTTTTGCAAATTTCAGTTTTGCACTACACGAGTTCTTAATTTATTTTCTAGAAGCAAGGGACTTGTTTTTTTTTCCCTCCCAAAATTTGGAGGTGATATTGCAAATTGCCAACTCATTAACCGCCAAAGAGTTTTCTGATCAATGAACACCCTCAATTTAAACTATTAATGAATTAATAAAGGTATATTTTCTTTCAAAAGTTTAAATTTTCATTAATCTTGCTTAATTATTAATAGATGTTAATTTCCTTGATATCTTCCACTCAATTCAATGCTAAGGACCTTTGGAATAATTTTCCCCAGATAAAAAAATACACATATTCTTTAAAAAAAAAAAAAACCATTCACTCCCTTTTCAATCGAATTCTCAGTCTCTCTGGCAAAAAAAAAATTAAATTAAATTAAATTCTCAATCACTTGAAAATATATATATAACAAATTTCTAGGGGATCCAGGTTGGTGGGTAACAGTGTTACCGTTGAGTCTCTTGCATGTCGCCAAGTGGAAGTAACGTACTCTGGTTCAGAGCATAGAAATCACAAACAAAACGCTCCCTCCCTCAGCTTTGTATGCCAACCCTCCACAGCATATTTCACGTTTTACTCCGCAACGGTCACTTCCCTCTCTCTTTCTTCAATCTCCGTTATATATACTATGAGCGTATCACACTCGGATCAATCCACACCCACCTTCATCATCAATTCTCTCTCTCAAAAGATCAGCTCGGAATTAACTTCTCTAAGAAATGGGGTCTGAATCTGGCTGCAGGTTTCCAGGCTTTTTGATCTTTTTCATGTTCACATGGCTTCTTTTCGCGTCATTATCTCAAGCACGAGAGTTTTACGTTGGTGGCAAAGATGGTTGGGTAACGAAGCCTTCAGAAGACTACCATCACTGGGCTCAAAGAATGAGGTTTCAAGTGAATGACACTCTCCGTAAGTCCAGTACATTTTTGTTTCTCCATATTTATATAGATTTCACAATGTGTAGTGTGATTTTTCTCCATTATTATCATTGATTGTTGTTTCTGGTGGATGTAGGTTTTAAGTACCAGAAAGGGTCTGATTCGGTTTTGGTGGTGAAAAAGGAGGATTACGATTCGTGCAACACCAAAAATCCCTTGCAGAAGATGGAGGATGGCGATTCATCTTTCATTCTTAATAGGTCCGGTCCCTTCTACTTCATCAGTGGCAAATCTGAGCATTGCCAGAAGGGTCAAAAACTGATCGTCGTCGTTATGGCTGCGAGAGGCAAGCCTCATCACCAGTCACCTCCTACCCCGGCGCCGGCGCCGGCGCCGGTTGTGGCACCATCTCCGGCAGCCAAGACACCAACTTCATCGCCATCGGCTAGTTCCGGCCCAGGTTTGAGGCTTGCTGGTCCGGTGGTGGGATTGGCTTCGGGGGTTAGCCTTGGGATAAGCTTGATCTTTGGGAGCATTGGTGGGCTGCTTTAATTGTTATATGGACGTTGAAACAGAAGTGACTTCTTTTGTGTTTGGCTGGGTGTCTGGAATTGATTTCCTGGTATTTCAGTGTATGTGTATCTATTTGCTCGATCAACGGCGAGCATAGAGCAAGCTTTCATTAATTAGGGAAGTATGATTTTAATCTAGAGAATTTCGATACTTTTGTCCCCCCCCCCCCCAAACAATTTCGATTCTTTTTGTATACTTACCCCGCCATTTGTGTTAAGAGCATTATCTTACTTCGATGGTTTATGGTTATGGCTCCTGTACCACAAATTAAAAAATTAATCGCCCCAAGCATATCGCTAATAATTAGCAATTAATTAATAAAATTCTTGTCGATAACAGATTACCATCTATGTATACCCTTGTGATTCTATTCATATTTTTTTCAAATAAAAAAAAAATTAAATCTCACTAACTCATCCAAAACTTATATGTGTGTGCGTGTAAAGAGACAAAACTTAATTCAACAAAAAAAAAAAAGAGACAAAACTTATATTCTTACTATCCGACTATACTGGATGTTTATTTCATCAATTATATTGAAAGTTGAAACATGCGTATCTTCTTTTTTCCACGTCGATAATATTTTCACCGACATTCACTTAATTTAAATTGTTGAAAACATTTATCCTTAATTAATAATGAGTTATCTCTTTTTTTTTAATAACAAAAAGTTTAAGTGAATTGAATCTCAGAACTCAAAATCAAAGTATGACTCCATGCTCATATAATACTTATAAAAGTATTTATAGATCCCTGACCTTGTATTGTCACAATAAACAATGAGTTATCTCTTGGAAGGAGTGATGAATTGTGAGGTCTACTAAGTAATTTTTTTTTTTGGGCCAAAAGGTCCGTTGAGTAATAATGACTATTACAATTACCTCAAATTATATTGACGCAACATAAATAGGTCTTTACCCTCAACGCCCGTTTTCTAAAAGATTGTGCGATACGAAAAACAACCATGGCATCTATATATAGCTTCACATTAACAAGAAAAGCCCGGACAAATAGAAACGGATCTCGCGGATCACAAGCGCTAGTTCATGCATTGCCATTCATAAAACAGAATCACTATTTCTTAGCTAATAAAATCCAAAATTCAAATATATGAAGGGTAATACCAAACACTTGTTGCTTCTGCCAACCACAAACAAAAAACAGTATAGAAAACCCAACAACTGGCCCTCAACCTTTTGCTATTATTATGGTATCACTAAAAACTCTCCCCTCCTGCATATTTTATCTTCTTCCTCCCCATCGATCTCCCTGATCATCATCAATCAGTAGAATTCATCCATCCACCCACCCACCCCTCCATCCATCCATCGGATCATCAAGATGAAGCATGGTCTTGTGATCATAATTTTGTTAGCCATGGTTTTGGGTTCGATGTCCAAATCAAAACCATACAACAACATGTTTCAGAAGGATCAAGTGTGCAACAACAACAACAATAACAACAATGGATTGCAAGGAGATCAGTGTTCCGACAAGATCAAAGGAATGTCTTTAATGATGAGATCTACTGGTAAGAGCAGATCCAGGAACCTCAGGACTGTGAGGTATATAAGTTACGACGCTCTTAAGAAGGATAATATTCCCTGCAACCGACGTGGAAATTCTTACTATAATTGCAACAAACGCGGGAGGGCCAACCCTTATCGACGTGGTTGCACCGTCATTACACATTGCGCCAGAAACACTGATTGATTGATTGATCCATCCTTGTTTTCTATAACTATATATTCTCACTGCACCTGCATGCATATGCAATATGTAACCACACTATTCCCATCTAATTTTAATTTATTTATTTATATAGTTTCTTCTCTTTCCTTATAGTCTTAATTAATCCCACGTCTCTCACTGCTTTTTTTTTTTTTTCCAGTTTTTAGATCTTTATAGAATGACAGAAGCAAAAATAATAATGGGCCCTTTAAATTTAATTTATTGCATGTATAAATGTATGTTCTTCATTTTCTTTAATTTTCATGCATGGACATATATACATCATCTGAATCTCTCTTCTCTTCTGTTTTCTCATTTGTGTATCAACTAACTCGACCAACTAAAAGGGCAATACTTGATCACTTGTTACCTCTTCCTTTTCAATTTGTTTATATATGTATACAAAATAAGTAAGATCCGTAGGATGAGAATTGTTAATCGCCTTTAGTTCTGTAATGAATGTGTGATTGTTAATTGGATATATATGGCCAATGCAAGGTTCTTGCCTGCTAATCTGCTTGTCACTTCGCATGAATTAGCTCTAAACTTCATGGCTTTGTTCAATCCTATTCCTCTGCCCCCAGGTCCTGGAATCTGAGAATCTGCAACTCTGCAAAAAGGGATTCACAGTCAAATTTTGTTTGATGTTGTGTTTTAATTATTATATATTTCAATAATAATTTATTCGTAAATTTTCTTACAAATATAGTACTACCCCCGGTCCTAATTATAAGAGCTAACTAATTAATTTGAAGAGATTAAGAAAATAAGTCGAACAAAGCTTTATATTAAGGATCGAGATAGTACATTGTAATGTAATTTCACATTGGCAATCATTAGAAGTTCATCAGTTAAATTTTCACAACGTTATTAATTAGTTAATAGTACTACGGTGCTAGCAGAGAAACAAAAATATTCATATATTCGCTGGTAATAATTCATAATTCGAAGTGTCCTATCACCTTGAATAGTCCAAAGGTCTCGTTTGGAGGGGAGCCTATCCGTTAGGAGTTTCCATCGTACAAAAATCTGCCAAGTATCATCAAGATATATATAGACACACACACACACACACAACAGATATCGAAAATGAAATAGCTTCACAAGATCCCAATAAATCATACTAATATTGACGTTTACGATTCCCCAAACTATAAATTGAATTATAGTCTTCCAGGAGGAGAACAATCCCAAATGAAAAAAGGTTTCAAGCGACGCTTTAGGCTTCTAGTTTTTCCAAGCTGAGAAACTTGATGGAGAACAACGAAACGATGCGTCTCTGTTTCTATCTGCATCTATATAATTGACTGCTACGCTTCATATACTGTTGAAAAGCCAAGAAAATGGATTCCCATTGTAAATATGGTCGATTTTTGAAGGACAAGCAAGTTACTGATGCAATGGCTCTAGTGGCAGAATTATGCCGGAAATTCTACAGAATGGGTTGGGTTTCAGGTACTGGAGGAGCTATGTCTGTCAAATTGGACCATCTCGGCCTCATCGTCGTGACCCCTTCTGGTGCATAATCACCGCTCCTTCTTTACACATATAACAAGTTTACTCTATTCACTTCAATATCTGAAAAATATGACTATCTTTAAATGAAAAGGGGTTCAAAAGGAGAGAATGGCTGCAGAGGAGACGTTTGTAAGTCTTCGGACGGGTCTGATTTGCTAACACCTCCTGTGAAGCCATATCCTCACAACCCTCCCAAGGGCAGCGACTGTGATCCTCTGTTCATGAAGGTGGTCACACACAAACAGTGTTTAATTTGTTATTTTACATTAATCTTTCTGGTTTATTTACTGTATGCCCCTATAGATGCATTTAATTGCTTTTGTGGTATTGTCCCGTCTCTGAATGAACAGATTTATGAGATGCGCAGTGCTGGTGCTATTATACACAGTCATGATATGGAGGCTTGTCTAGTATCTATGATCAGGCCTTTGTCTAAAGATTTTCGAGTAATTATCTGATTTAACTGTTGCTGTTAGAAGTCAGCTTCTGTATGCCTAGTTTTAAATTTGACGGGGTGAATTAAGGCTTTTCCTCTGGGTATATAGATTTTTCCACTAATTTAACAGATCACTCACATGGAAACGATTAAAGGAATTGATGGACATGGGTATTTTGATGAATTTATAGTTCCAATAATTGAGAATGCCGCACACGAAGGAGAGCTGATAAATTCTATAACTGAAGTGGTATATCATCTTTGTCCATTTGCCTTTGGTTTACAGTTTCATGATGATGTTTTCAAGTCTCTCTATCTTTCAATTGTACAATAATAATAATAATAATTGTTTTTCTATTATTGTACTTCATATAGCTTGAAGCTTTCCCGAGAACAAACGCGCTTCTAGCACGCAATCATGGAGTTTTCATATGGGGAGAGTCATGGATTAGTGCCAAGACGCAGGTCAGTGTGTTTTACTGATTGGGTGAGGAAAAACTGAGGTTATGAACACAAGCTTTTAATTAGTGAATTACTTCGATGTGTATCAGGCTGAGTGTTATCATTATTTATTTGGTGCTGCCATCAAGCTCCATCAGCTGGGACTGGATTCTTCTACGCCAAGCCATGGCCCCATCAAGAGATCATGAACAACACAGATAGTATCAGATGGGAGTTTCAGCATTCAGCATTTGGGTTTCGAAAGGTTGAAACTTTTTAATCTGAGAAACATCAAAACAACTATGTGTATGGTTTTTTTTTTTTTTTTGCCCTTTCGATTTGCATTAATTATTTAAGTTCCTTCGGAACCTATAACTGCAAATTTAATGTCTGCAGAATTTGACTTTAATTAATTAATTAGCTGTAAATCTCCTTAATGTTGCAGAAGGTGAACTGAAGCATACGAAACCGTTAAAGCTTAACCAATTTGTTAGCCTTTTTGTTGCATCTTCCCCACAAGTCTATGTTAGTTATATATATACTCCTCTGGTCTTCTTTATAACACACTTATAACACGTTCCACACAAATTAAGAAAAATCTTAAACTGCATTAACTCTTCGTTAAAATATAACAATTTCCTAACTTTATTCATACTTAATACACTTTTTTTAAAAAAAAGTTTATTTATAATATAATAAATGAAAGACAAAATAGTATATTCATGTCAAAATTTAATAAAATGACTTATAAATAGAACAAAAGAAAAAAAAAATTTCTCTACCTTATAAATAGAAGCAGATGAGTAGCTCTGTTTCACCACTGTATCAGTATAAAACACTCAGTTTATACTCA